GTTGCCTGCACAGGATAAAGCCAGTAGACTTTGCAACTTGGGGAGGGGAGGGGCTCAAGATGCTCTACCATTGGCTGAGGAGCCCTTGACAGTTGACGGCTTGGGGGGCGGGGCAGTCAGTTCTCTTAGGGGTGTGGTCCCCGGTAGGTTGACTATGCTTCCGTGGACAGCCCTAAATATATGCGTACACAGACAGCACTAGACTCCTTCAGTTATTTAACAGAAGAAGAAGAAGAAGAAGAAGAAGAAGAAGAAGAAGAAGAAGAAGAAGAAGAAGAAGAAGAAGAAGAAGAAGAAGAAGAAGAAGAAAAGAATACATGAAGCTGGGATGTAGAACAAAGAGGTGGAGGGGAACAGAGGATGGATATGATCAAAATACACTATATATGTGTGTGAAATTCTCAGAGGAGATAAAAATATATTTAAATTATATAAACAAATATCTAGTTTCCACGAACAGCTGCCTTCTAAAAACTAATTAGCAACAGAGCCATTTCCTTCACATAGCTAAGACCACCACAAGTCACTCCAGCAGGCTCAGACCACAATTTTATTTCTGAATTTAAAATAAATTAAATTAGAACATAATGTCATTATTTCATACTGTTCAAATGTAATCCCATTAAAATTCCATTATGAAACTGGAACATGGCTATGGATGTGTAATGAAGGAAATGAAAACTGTTCATATGTGAGTCTTACACGGTGAATGTAAAATATCTTGGCTCATTATTGTTGCAGAATATATATGTTCCAACATTTGGACAGCAATTGTAGCCTGGAGCTTTTTCTTCTCTATTGCTACAGTCATTTTCTGCAGAACTGTTTGTGGAGCACTTCCTAACAGAGATGCTATCATATCCAGCTTTAGTAGTTCAGACTTATTTTCCAAAAATCTATTTAGAAAACCTTTCACTGATTGTCAACCATTGTTGAACTGCCCTGAGTGACCCCCTCAGCCTGTGCTGAAAATTAATCCTAGAAAATTCATTTTGTTTTAAAGCCATTGGCTCTGGGATGAGATGGAGCTGCCACTTACTAGATGTAAGATTTTGGGAGAATTATTTAACCTCTACATACCATGGTTCTTTACGAGTAACATGATTTTGTGATGACCAAATAAGTTAGCACTTACCTGATAAGATATTATCAGGTGCATACATAAATGCTCAATGAATAATAGCTAACATTGTGAATGTTGGTATGTTATTGCATATGCAGTATTCTCCTTTGAAAACTGTGAGAAATGATCCTTTTAAATCTAAGTATTACTCAGGAAAAGTATTTGATGTCTCCATTTAATTATTTGCTATTAGGTAAATACTGGTATCCTCAAGTTTAAGTGTACTCTGTTGTTTCCATTGGCTATCAGGAAAGCAGAGACATGTAGGCAAGCACTCTCAAATCTGCAGAAGTGTATTTTAAATAGCAGTCTTACTACTGAGTTCTTTAAAATCCTGCTTGAATTTTCTGCTTTAGCCCAATCCTTTTGATTTTGTCATTTAAAGTATTTTTAAGGTGCTTCAAATTTTTTTGGCTTTTGTATTTTTTATTATTAAGAGATTTTCTATTCATTTTACATACCAACCACAGATTCCCCTCTCCTCCCCCCTCCCACCCCCATCTCCCCCCCAATACCCCCTCTTTCTCACCTCCTCCAAGGCAAGGTCTCCCATGGGGAATGAGCAGAGGCTAGTACATTCATTTGAGGCAGGTCCAGGCCCCTTCTCTCTGCACCAAGGCTGCGCAAAGTGTCCCATCATAGGCACTAGGCTCCAAAAAGCCTGCCTATGCACTAGGGATGGGTCCGGATCCCACTGCCTGGGGGCCCCCTAAACAGTTCAAGCTAAACAACTGTCTTACCTATCCAGAGGGCCTAGTCTAGTACCATGGGGGCTCCTCAGCTATTGGTCCACAGTTCATGCATTTCCGCTAGTTTGGCTGATCATCTCTGTACATTTTCCCATCATGATCTCAATGTCCCTTGCTCATAGAATCCCTCCTCTCTCTCATCAACTGGACCTGGAGCTCAGCCTAGCACCCAGCCATGAATCTCTGCATCTGCTTCCATCAGTCACTGGATGAGGACTCTATGATGACAATTAGGGTATTCAGCCATGTGATCACCAGAGTAAGCCAGTTCAGGTACCCTCTCAACTATTGCCAGCAGTCTAAGGTGGGGTCATCCTTATGGATTCCTGGGACCTTCCCTAGCACTCTGTTTCTCCCTATTCCCATGATGTCTTCATTTATCATGGTATCTCTTTTCCTGCTCTCCCACTCTGTTCCTCTTACAACTCTAATCTCCCATTTCCTTATGTTCTCATCCCCCATCCCTTGCCCTCCATTACCCCCCTCACCCCCAGTTTGCTCATATAGATCTCATCCACTTCTCTTTGCTGGGCGATCCATGTGTCCTCCCTAGGGTCCTCCCTGCTAGCTAGCCTCCCTGGAACTGTGGGTTGCAGTCTGGTTATCCTTTGCTTTATATCTAGTATCCACTTATGAGTGAGTACATACCATGTTTGTCCTTCTGAGTCTGGATTACCTCACTCAGGATGATATTTTCTAGTTCCATACATTTGCCTGCAAATTTCATGATATCATTGTTTTTCTCTGTTAAGTAGCACTCCATTGTGCATATGTACCATATTTTCTTAATCCATTCTTCAGTTGACAGGCATCTAGGTTGTTTCCAGGTTCTGGCTATTACAAATAATGCTACTATGAACATAGTTGAGCATGTGTCCTTGTGGTATGATTGAGCATTCCTTGGGTATATGCCCAAGAGTGGTATAGCTGGGTCTTGAGGAAGATTGATTTCCAATTTTCTGAGAAACCACCACACTGATTTCCAAAGTGGCTGTAAAAGTTTGCACTCATACAAGCAATGGAGGAGTGTTCCCCTTGCTCCATATCCTTTCCAACATAAGCTGTCTTCAGTGTTTATGATCTTAGCCATTCTGACAGGTGTAAGATGGTATCTCAGAGTCATTTTGATTTGCATTTCCCTGATGACTAAGGATGTAGAGCAATTCCTTAAATGTTTTTCAACCATTTGAGATTCTTCTGTTGAGAATTCTCTGTTTAGTCTGTAGGTGCTTCAAATCTTATTTGAAAAGCTATTGAGAATATAGCACCCTGAAATAGACCTCATTCATTTCAACAGATAACATGGCTAGTGATGAAGTATACATTGGCTCTCCTCCTTATTAGAGTTAATGAAAATAGTTGTATGGCCCTCTGCTTCAATGTTTTTTCCAGGTCACAGACCCAGGAATTCTTGCATTAGGTTTTCATATTGTTGTTCTTTGTTCTCCTCCTGACTTATGTGTTGCAGCATCAGATAAGGGATAGATGGTCTGTTACTATCTATTGTAATGTATTTGTGAAATTAAAAGAAGAATGGAGTGGGGGCTGGAGAGATGGCTTGGAGGTTAAGGACACTTGCTGCTCTTGCAAAGGACCCAAGTTCAGATCCCAACACCCATGTCAGAGACCCATAACTACCTGTACAGCTCTAGGAGCTCCAGCACCCTCTTCTGGCCTCTGAGAGCACATACACTCATGTATACACATAAATGTTAAATATACAACACGCATAAAAATAAAAGTTAAATAAAGAGAAAAGAATGGTTTCTTTACCATTTTGTGTGTGTGTGTGGTGTATGTACACACATGTTCACAGGTGTGAACACCCATTCATACACACTAAGACCAAAGAATGACATCAATTGTCCTGTTCTACAACTCTCAACCTTATTCCCTTGAGACCAGGCCTTTCTCTGAACCTGAAGCTGGGATGGCAGTGAGCAAGGCCCAGTGATCCACCTGTCTGCCCCCCACCCTCACTGCTACAAGCATGGAACTGCAGGCACACACGGCCATGCCTGGCCTTTTATGTGGGTACTCGGGATTCAAACACAGATTCCCATAGTTGCAAAGCAAGCACTTTTGCCCATTAATCCATCTCCCATCTCACCTTTTTCTTTTTAAGAAAGATACCTTGAAAGTATCGTCCTGTATTCCCAATCCTCCATCTAACCCTCTCCCTCAGTCTCCTGAGCGTAAGTTATTTTCTTGCCTCAGCCTCCCAAGTGCTGGGACTAAAGGCAAATGTAACTTTACCTGGCTCCAAAGGATAGATAGATAGATAGATAGATAGATAGATAGATAGATAGATATTATTACTGTCTACTTTTAATATAAAGGAAAGACTGGGAGTTGGAGAAAAGACTCAGAAGCTAAGGGCACTTGTTGCTCTTGCAAAGGACCCAGTTTCCACTCCCAGCACCCATATGATGGCTCACAAACATCTGTGACTCCAGGCTCAGGAGATCTGATGCCCTCTTCTGACCTTGAGCACCAGACATGCACATGGTGTTCATATAGATATGCACACAAACCACCCAAGCACATGAAATCATAAAACAATAAAGGAAAGACTAAGACTCAACTTGGATAGATCCTAAAGCTGAGCCCTTACAATGTGCAAGGAAAATGAGAAAATCAATCCATTTCTTCTGTCTCAAAAGAAGTTTGAGTTTTATTGCAGGGTTAATATCATGACATATTAAACTCAATTTTCATAAAAAAGAAGCATGATTTAGTCTTTTTAGTGATCACTATCAGATAGAATGGCAAGATTGCATTAAGGGAGTGGAATGTCAGGAGACTTTTAATGTCAAAAAGCAAAGTCAAAGGAGCATTTATGGATGTAGATGCATTGGTGTCTACAAGACTTTAACAATGTGACAGAATGACAGCCATCTACCATCCACTGTCACTGCTCTACCCATTCATTCATTTCCTCTTTTCTTCTCTGACTTTCCTCTGCCAGACCTTATTCTAAGTCCTGTGGGAGAAAAGAAGGCTCCTTACGGCAGCATGAGTCAATCCAAGACTGAGTCACTGAAAATCTAATAGCAGTGGGGGGATGGCGATGAGCACTTCACAGACCAAGGCAGTAATGAGCACAACTACCGTTCCATTGTCACTGCTTATGGTAAGCTTCCTTTCCATCCGTCCCTCCTTGTTTGGTGACTAATTTTCCTAGGAAGCAATGTTTCCGGCTTCCTGAGCCAGAACATTCTTGCCAAAAGTCTTTTTATTGCATCAGTCACCTCTTGGTTCCTTATGCTATAGATTAAGGGATTCAGCAATGGGGAGAAAAAGGTATAGACAACAGATACTGCCCGGCCTTCCTCTGGGGTGTAGCTGGAGCTGGGGCGAAGGTAGATGAGGGTGCAGCACCCATACTGCAGGGCAACCACGAGGAGGTGTGAGGAGCAGGTGGAGAAGGCCCGGCGCTTCCCCTCGGCTGACTTCATCCTCAGGATGGTAGCCACAATGCAACCATAGGAGAGACAGATAAGGAGAAAGGGAATGGCCACTGCAGCCACACTGATGGCAAAGAGAGCTGCCTGGTGCATGTGGGTGTCTGTACAGGCCAGGTGCATGACTGCAGGCATGTCACAGAAGAAGTGGTAGATTTCATTGTGGCCACAGAATGGAAGGTGGCAGATCAGAATGGTCAAAGGCAATGACAACAGGAATCCCAGCCCCAGGGAACCTAAAGTCATCTGCCTGCACAGCTGCCAACTCATAATGAGGCTGTAATGCAGTGGGTGACAGATGGCCACATACCTGTCATAGGCCATGATGGCAAGCAGGACACAATCAGATCCTCCTAGAAGGATGAAGAAGAACATCTGAGCCCCACAGCTGGGCAGAGAGATAAGCATCTTCCCCATGGAGAGGATGCTAGCCAGAGTCAACGGAGCAATGTTGGTGGAATAGCCAAGCTCTAATGTGGCCAACACAAAAAGGAAGAAGTACATTGGGGTATGGAGGGAGTGATCCTGCCAGACGGTGAGCCCGATGGTGAGGTTTCCAATGAGGCTTCCAAGATACAGCAGCAAGAAGCCCACAAACACCAGGGAAGCTATTGTGGAGCTGGTTGAAAAGGGGCGGAAGTGGAAATATACCACTCCTGTCTGATTTTCCTCCTCCATTAGACCTAGTACAAAGAAAGACGTTAAGGATAAAGTTATTGTCCCAATGTCACTGAGTTGTATTAAAGACATACTCTACAGTCAATGAGTACTTAGCCTCAAAGCTTCCTTTGACTTTATCTCCCACTATCCCTGTGACTTTGGAGAAATGTGGACTCCAGCATTTTCACTGTAAAAGTCAGAAATGTATAACACCTACCTCAGAGTGCTGGTGAAAATTAAAGGAGACCCCATGTCTATAAGCACAGAGACCAATGCCAGACATGCAGGAGGTTCTCAATATACATTTCCTTGTGATTTCCATTCTGTCCTTGATCACCATCCATCTCCTTTTGGAGCAAAGCTTTCTCACAAGTCTCATGCCTCTTTGTTTCTATGCCATTCACCAGAAGAATGGCTCATGCATATCTACGGATGCATGCAATTTGCACACCAAGCTCAGAAAGCAAGCTACACCAGCCTGACCTTTACCCAGGTTGCAAATTCAAAGCCCAGAGAAATTAAATAGGCCACATTGTCACCCTGAGTAGTACTTTTACTTGGAATTTTGGCTTTTTTTTCTTAAATCTTCAACAATCCACTTTCATAGTTGTGCTGTGCCAAATATCAGCCTTACTATTGCTTCATCTTCGTTCACATTTCCCTTTATCCATGTCCTGATGGCATCTACTTTACAAAGAATTTCCAACATCCTTGTACAGGGCTCACCCTCTCACCCACCCCAACATCATAGAACCAGTGTAGTCTCTTTTACACAGTTTTTAAGCTGTGTTGCTCAATTCTGAGAGTTTTAAAGGATAGCTTCTTATTCTTGCATTATCAAATGCAATTATTAAATCCTGATTCACAAAACAATTTTTTACATGAAAATGCAATATTTTTCTGAGGTGTAACTTCAGGAAATAACTTTAAAAAAAAAACTCCATTGCCCTGGCACTAGCCAGGCATAGCCGTGCATGTCTTTATTGACACTTCAATGTTTCTGGATTTGAGTTTGTTGCAATCAGGACTCACAGATTCGGGCAACTATTTCCCTGTGATTGTGGTTGACCTTTTCAGTTGGATGAAGCTGGCCAAACGTAGCTGTCAGAGTGTTCTTTCCCTTGATGTCTGAGGAGGGAACTTAGAAAAGCCAAGCTAAGAACACTATTGTGCTAAAACAGAGGGATGGGGTCAAATAACAATCTCACATGACTATTGGTTTTTGTTGGTTTCATAACCAACTAAGCCAAGCTTCAATATGGTGGTTGACTTTTCTTTGTTTTTTATAGTGGTCAGGCTGATGGAGGAGGAATCATTTCCTTTGGGAGTGTGACCACCCATAGGTGGCTTAGACCCATGACGCCAGTGCTAACTGGACTCACTGGGTTATTAAAAAGAAAAGGGGGCATAAAGGTGAGAGGAGGACAGAGCACATGTGGGGAGAGTGCTGGGGGAAAGTGAGGAGAACTTGGGGTGTATATGACCAAGATACATTGTATATATGTATGAATTCTGAAAGAATAAAGAGAAATAGTCATAAATAAATACTGACCCTCCATGCTGGTCATTGATTTCTCTGAGGAGAAATTAATACTTGCAAGTTAGTTACTAGAAAAGTAGAAGGCTTAAAGATTTAGGGAAAAGGTTGCTTTTATTCTTTAGTTTATCAGCTTATAAAGAATTAGGTTTCATTGTGACAATTTTCAAATAAAATTTGTTTTTATTGTTTCTAGAAAAATAATTTAATAATACCTTAAAATGTCTTATTTTGTCAAAATATTGACAATTTTCCAAGCTGGCAATGCTCCCAGAAGTGTTCACTATGCTGCCTCTTATTGGGTGTGGATTAAAGATATCTCAAACCAAAAACTAACATTTTTAATGCAAACTTATCCACGTTTCTCCAGGAGTCTAAGCTTAGAAATGAATCTAAAACAACAATAAGAGTTTCATTTTAATAGATAATAATAAAACAATCTAATATAAAATGTTAGATTAAGCTGATACAATATAATTGTTTGAAATCAAACTTTTAAAATTGATGCATTTGTTACATAATAGCATATAAAGCAGTATCAACAGAATCCAGATTTTAAATTATAAGCCATATGCTTCCCATTTTATAATATTTTATTCTTTTAGTAAACAGAAATACTCAATTTAATTAATTATGAATACAACATTAAAAAAAAAAGAAAAGAAATCAAGACAGCTGTTTCACACCACCCCCTGTGCATGGTCAACTCAGCCCTTCACTCCACCTCATTTCCTCTTGAGCCATCTGTGTACATGTCGGCCTCCCTGTCTATATACTATGTACTCATTGGTTTCCTTGAGGACAGCTTTTCTTTGTCCTTATACCCACTCCTACACAGTTTACATACAATAAGTAAAATGCAACTGTCTCCTTTTTTGTTTTTGTTTTTTGGGGTTTTGTTTGCTTGTTTGTTTGTTTTTCAAGACAGGGTTTCTCTGTGTAGCTTTGTGCCTTTCCTGGAACTCACTTTGGAGACCAGGCTGGCCTCGAACTCACAGAGATCCGCCTGCCTCTGCCTCCCTCTTAATAGCTATGCCAACTCAACAAAAGCTAGTAGCTAACGTGAGCTGAGTGCCTGCTGATGTTTCATGTATTGAGAAGTGACTAGTGTTTATTGGATGCCCGGAACTATTCTAAGTATTTTCTATTAGTTAACTCATTTACTCTACGTAAGTAAACTGACAGGGAAGGTGCCATTATCTTCTCTTTACAGATAAACACAAAACCTGCATCCAAGAGGCTGCAGGTTGTATACACTTACCCACTGCTCCTCATTGACTTGCCACAACCATATCCCCACTTCTGTCACTTTTGAGGGCTTCAGCTTTACATACATGGACTTGTAGGAAAATAATGATTTACCACATTTTATCTACAGGAGAAAAACATGTCACCTACCAGTTGGGAGTGAGAAATCCTTTTTTCCTTAAGTATACCTAGTATGAAACCATAGATAGTTTTAACATGTGATAAGAGCAATAAGAATCCTTGGTTGTTGTCATTTTTATTGCCCAGTTGAAAGAGGGAGAGAGACAGAGACCGAATTCGTTTTCACAGAAACTCTCTTCTAAACAAAAGGTAAAGCTTACCTCAATCTGATTTTTTTTTTAAATCACAAGAACATTAAGTTGTCAGATGGTTTTTCAAGCATCCCTGCCCCTCAGAGCATTGGACATATCTCATCTTGGAGACCAGAGAAACAGAGATCCTGGAGGCTCTAAAGATGTCTCTCTGGGGTAAGGTACAGACCAACATTACCCACGTGGAGTCTCTTCCCGGGAATCCCCAATGAGTTCATTTATTTAGTAGTATCTACTGAGTCCCTTTATGTTTCTTGTACTGCTCTTGGGCATAGAGATACAGAAGTAAAAAAAAAAAAAGAAAAGAAAGAGAGAGAGAGAGAGAGAGAGAGAGAGAGAGAGAGAGAAAGAAAGAAAGAAAGAAAGAAAGAAAGAAAGAAAGAAAGAAAGAAAGAAAGAAAGAAAGAAAATGTCCTTGACTTGATGAAGGTTATAGTCTAGTGAGAGAAAATAGATGATAAAACTAAGTGAACAATATAATAATAAGCAACATGTGCTATGTGAAAAATACAGCCGGGTAATAAAATGGAGAGTGATGGAAGCAGGAACTGAGAAGTGTGCAAATTTAACTAGAGTTGAGAAGGATCTGTCTAGGAATATGACCTTTGAACAGAGACATAAAATATGTATATATATATATGTGTGTGTGTGTGTGTGTGTGTGTGTGTGTGTGTGTGTGTGTATGTATATGATGCCAAAGAAAAGCATCCTGAGAAAGAAGACAACTTGTGTAGCGGTTTAAGGCAGGGACTGGTTGCTGTTTAATGAGTCCCAGGAAGTGGAAAGTGGAGTGGAGGGGTGCAAGCAACTGTGAAAGATGAAAGAGAAGGCCGCAGCAGAGCCTGCAGGATGTTCGGGGCTCTAACTAGGCCAGGATTGCAATGTAAGTCTCGTGGAAACTCCCGGGTCTTTTAAGTAGAGCAACGACCAGCCTTTGTGTTAGAACTCCACACTTGACCATGGCACAAAGAACAGAGTTGGAAGTGAGGTGACAGCCAGGAGGCTAGGGATGTTGCTGAACAGACAGAGTCCTTGCTTAGCATCCACAAAGCCCTAGTTCAGTCCCCAGACATGAGGGCACACCCCTATGATAATAGCACTTAGGAAGTGGAGGCAGGAGGATCAGAAGTTCAAGGTCATCCTCAATTGCATATGGAACTCAAGGCTAGTCCAGGCTATATGAAACTCTTAACAAACAAACAAACAAAAGGTCAGTAAGCTGGCTTAGCCGATAAAGGCACTTGCTTCCAAGACTGATGATCTCAGTTCAATCCTCAGAATCCACAGGTGCTCTCTGAATGTCATGTCACACACACACACACACACACACACACACACACACACACACACACACACACGGCTCATGGATACACACACTAAATGAAAATAAAAATAAAAAAATAAATACTAGTTTAAATTTTTTTAAATATAGTAAAATAAACAGATAGTTGGGGTATTTTGTTCACTCACTTCTTTTATTAAAATAGAAATTCAGTAAAAAATTTATCTGTGAGAGATATTAATAAGCTGGCAGTTATTGGGCCAAATTCTTTGCTTAGTTAGGTACTTATGCTGTTTCTCGTCATTGCTTCTATGTTCCAGGTGGTAAAACTGAGGCTTTAAGGGTTAACCAACTGGGGGCTGGAAGGATGGCTCTGAGGTTAATTAAGAGCACTGACTGCTCTTTCAGAGGTTCTGAGTTCAATTCCCAGCACCCACATGGTGACTCACAACCATCTGTACTGAGATCTGGCACCCTCTCCTGTATACATAATGAATATAATAAAATAAAATAAAATAAAATAAAATAAAATAAAATAAAATAAAATAAAATAAAATAAAATAAAATAAAATAAAATAAAATAAAATAAAATAA